TTCCTTCTGTATTGAACTGTATTATAATTGTATTATCTACCTTTATATTGTAAAGTGTTGCACATACTGTGGGTGCCATATTATTCTGTATAATAAATAATAATAATAATAGAAGATAAAGAAAGCTGGTCAGTTTGTGAAATTAAGTTTTTTTAGTAATACATGCTAATTAGTCTAAAGGGGTCATGCACATAACATGAAAGTTAAAAGATTAAAATGATTGCAAGGGGTTCTTGTCTAACTGGCTTCAATATATATGACACAAACACCGCAGGTAAAAATGAATAGGCAAGTAAAAAAAAATATAATAACAAAACCAACTTTATATTCACCCTTAATCCAGTGATTTCCCGTATAGTAATGCATGCTATTAGTCTAAATTCATCTAAAGGGGTCATGCACATAAGGTGCAAGTAAAAAGACTGGAATGATTGCAAAGGATTCTTACCTAGCTGGCTTCAATATATACAACACAGACACAGCAGGTATAAATGAATAGGCAAGTAAAAAAGTCAAATAACAAAACCAACTTTGTATTCACCTTTAATCCCATGATTTCACATGCAGTACTTTTTTTCTGCCACTAGATGTCCTCAGTGTGATAGCTGGCATAATTTAACCTACTTCCTCTGAGCCCAGGCAGTCTGTGACCGGACAGTGAAAGGAGAAGTACAGTGATGAGCTCATCTCTCTGTCACTCTGCTCTCGCTCTATATGAGCAGGCTTCTTACCAGCACATGAACGGATTGGCTCCTTGTGCTGCTTCTTTCTGTCACACTTCAAATTCGCTATATAAAAGGGACTGCAAGAGGCCGATGCCAGGTCATGCTCAGGTACTTACACTGCATGCAAAAAGTAATTAAAAGAAAAAAAAAAGCCAACTTTGTTGCAATATTCACCTTAAATCCAGCAAGCAATTCCCATACAGTGTTTCTTTTCTGCCACTATAAGTCCTCAGTCCAATAGCCGGCATCATTTAACCCACTTCCTCCAACCCCAGGCAGTCTGTGACTGGACAGTGAAAGGAGAAGCAGCACAGTCATGAGTTTCTCTCTCTGTCACTCTGCTATCTTCCTATTTACCAGCACATAATGAATGGCTCCTTGTGCTGCTTCTTACACTTCAAATTCGCTATATGACTGCAAGAGGTCGATGCCATTGCTCAGGTACTTACACTGCATGCAAAAGTAATTAAAAAGAAAAAAATCCAACTGCAATTTCTTCCAGCAAATTCCCATACAGTGCTTCCTGCCACTATAAGTCCTCAGTCCAATAGCCGGCATCATTTAACCCACTTCCTCCAACCACAGGCAGTGTGTGACTGGACAGTGAAAGGAGAAGCAGCACAGTCATGAGTTTCTCTCTCTGTCACTCTGCTATCTTCCTATGAGCATGCTTCTTACCAGCACATGAACTGATTGGCTCCTTGTGCTGCTTTCCTCTCATACTCCAGATCTGCTATACAGGGACTGCAAGAGGCTGATACCAGGTTAAGTTCTACTTACACTGCATGCATTTAAAAGCTAAAGTTAAATGATGTTTAATAATTACAGATCTGGATTAGTTTGTGTCCCTCATTCCACAAAATCCCTATTCCCCAAAAATAATCCATACACATCCACTACTTAATTCATTAGATTGTTTATTACTGTGTTTTTCTGCCTCCTTGAAACGTCCTCAGTGAGCGCTCAAACATTTAATTTTCCTCCCTCACTTCTCTTTGTTTGGAACAAGCAGAACACATTAGTTGTAGTCACGTGCACTGCTCTATGCACACTACACATTTCTCAGTCTATCTTGGGAGCCAGTAATAGAGGGTGGCTAAATTCCTGTATAATGGGACCATGGAGAAGGAACATAGCCACCTTCTAACAGGAAGTAAGATCACAGAAGTAAAAAAATAAAAATGAATTTGGATATTTGGAGGAGTCTGAGAGCAATAGAAAGTTCTTTAAAAATGTATAAAAATCTGCTATGCAAATGTCTCAAGCATTCACACAGTTCTCATAAATAACTGCTGTAGTTTGCCATATATGTTTATTTCTTATCATTGGTGGCTCTATCTTCTGGCCATAATGCAGGCATTTATCTGACTGAGGTATTTCAGGAAACTACCACATTATGGCCACCAGATGGAGCAGACGATCATAGGAAATAAGCATACTAGGCAATTTTTACAGCCATTATTCCTGAGAGATGTGTGAATGCTTGACAAATCTGGAACTGTCAAATCTGGAAACTCAAATTTGGAACTATGAAACCACATGCAGGTCGCACTGGTGTGAACCAGAGTTTACAGCCATAACTAAACTGTGGGCCACATGTGACCCAACAGCACTCAGCATGCTGAGAATAATACAACAAATGATCCACATTGATTTGGATCAATTAGTTATTATTCTGAGTGTAGCATGAATATTCGTACAAGATTCTTTTTGTGTTGGGGTTGAACTTGAGAGACCATTTGTTAAATTTGTGCATGGCTAACACGGTCAATTGGGAATGGGGGAAATTAATTCAACTTAATACCATAAAGAATAAATAGCTAAGAAATAATTATGGTAAAACAAATACAGTCAATCTTCAACAAAATAAACAACAAAATAACAGAACTTCTGAAAATACGAACGAATATATCCTCTCCCAAAATAACTAATTGTTCCAAAAACGAATCACTCTAACAAAAATTACGATGAAATGTAACGATTTACTACAGCCCCACAGTTCCATGTATGCAAGAGGAGTGTAGGCATTAGACTGTGCAGTCAGGGAACACCTTCCGCTGCCTATGATTGGCTGTCTGCTTTGACAGATTCCTGACAGGATAGCCTGGGTGGCTTTGGACTTGTCTGAATACACCTGAGCTCATCCCTGATCTAAACACAAAATCAAAATTGTAATGCCATTTTCCAATCCTCAACCCCTTTAATGCCAATGTCACACAAATATGCGGCCTCACGGAACTGGGCTTTTTTCCGTGGGGCCACATATTTGCGCTCCCAGCACAGAGACCGTGGTGTCACTGAGAGCCCTGGGTCCCATTCTAACAATTGGGACCTGGGACTCCCGATTCCTGGTCACATGATCGCTGTGATAGCCCTTGATTGGCTATCACAGTGATCAGTCACTGTGCAGCCCGACCCCTTGTTTTTTTTCTCTCTCTATGAATGGAGAAGAGAGATACATTGTATCTCTCTAACTCCTGGCATAGAGAGGAAAAAAAAAAAAAGATAAATAAATATCAGAAAATAAAATAAAGAGAAAATACCTAGATCAAGGTTTGATCTAGTTCAGTGCCAGGGTTATTGTTTGGGTCAAGGTCAGGGTTAAAGGTCAAGTTCAAAAGGACAGGGTCAAAGGCCAGGATTTAAAAAAAAAAAATTGGTGTCAGTTAGTGTCGATGTCAGCAGCCAGGAGGGGAGCAGTGGGACACCACATCACTGGAGCAGAGAGGAGTATAGTTTTGCTTTAAGTTTGCTAGTAAATTTAACTCTACCCTCTGTCCAGGTTTACAATGCAACTGTCCATGGGGTGAATCTGTTGCTCCTCCAGTGGAGTGGAGACACCATAGGACAGGAAGTGTGTTAATAGTTCGATCATCAGGTGAAAAGCCTAAAATAGTGAAGTAATGGAGCCACTGCTGATCCCTGGCTGATCAAAGCACAGTGGGTGGATGATACAGCCTTGTCTGCTCAGTTTCTGCAGAGCGGACACAGACAGAGCCTGTTCTGTTCTATGAGCAGTCTGATGTAAACAGACTCCGCTGTCTTTTTTTTTTTTTTTTTTTTTTTTTTTAAATGGACCAGATCAGACCTGGAGGTAAGCAGACACAAGTCCAGTTACATCTGTCTGTCCATAGGAATGCATGGACCACCTAATCAGGTCTGCCTGAAAAACTAATAGGTGGACCTTATCAGATCTCCTGTGTGAAGGGGTCAAAAAGCTATCAGGCTGGTAAAGTACAATTTGTCACTTTCGGTGATTTAATAAACGTAACAGCGTGATGGTGTGTGGATGATCTCATGTTACTATGTAACATATTATTCAAAACCATGACTGTGATGGATGTAACATATGGTGCTGTTTGTGCTTTGCTTCAGTCTCCTCTTCATGGAATCCTGGCAGATATTTTAAAGAGATATTAAACCCAAAACCAAAAGATGTAATATATGGTAGCTTACCAATCATTAGATGAGGCAAATGCATTAGTTTTCTTTCTTGGGGCCCCGTGATCCCCTATTTCCCGGGGGCACCATGAGTTGTCAGTCCGCACCTGCCAGTGTGCATGCATTAGGTGCACATAATGCATTCATATTGTTGTGCACTGTGAATGTGCGCCGCTAGCTGTTGTACAACACATCACAGGAATTGTTTTTTTTTATTCTTATTAAATTTGACAGTTCATTGCCTTTAGGCAGCATGTCACAATGCTTGTAGTGTGTTGCATTGCATTAATGCAACCTCTCATACTTTTTTTCCAGTTCATTGCAGTTCTCCTGATGTTTTCTTTCTCAGACTCTTTCACCATTTTTGTTGTCCGTCTCTGGACTTGTTTATCTCATCCAGGGGCGTATTTGCTGCGAGGCTAACAAGGCATTTGCCTAGGGTGGCACTTTTTAGGGGGGCGGCAACACCCCCCCCCTTTCCCACGGAAGGGACACTTAGTACAGGGGCGGGCTGCTGTACCTTACCTGGGTCTGCGACTCCGTGTCCCAGTCCACGTCGATCCGGTCCATGAGGCGCTGCTGGAGGAGGGGTAAAAAGTTTGTCAGGTCAGCAGGTCCGGTGTCTTCAGTTCCCTGGATTGCGATGTGTGGCCAGGATCACATGTGCCCCTGTCATCTGGCCACACCCCCAGGATCACTCAACAGCCTATGGCAGCTTGTCCCTCCCTCTGCAAGCTCCGCCTCCTCGCCGGTGATTGGCCGCCGGAACTGTAGCTCAGGCACACAGGCAGCCAATCACTGGCGAGGAGGTGGAGCTTGGAGAGGAGGAGCCGAGTGACAGTGCGAAAATCAAAGAAGATCAAGTGAGGGAGAAGGAAGACAGCTGACAGGTAAGTGTTTGTGCTTTGCAGATGATGCTGCTGCAGACAGGTATGCTGGCTGTGGATGAGAGAGGGAGCGAGCCCAGGCTGGAGCAGGGTCAGCAAGGCAAGTATCATTGGTGTCAGTGGGAGGAATAGTGCCCCATCATTGGTGTCAGTGAGAGGAATAGTGCCCCATCATTGGTGTCAGTGAGAGGAATAGTGCCCCATTGTTGGTGTCAGTGAGAGGAATAGTGCCCATCATTGGTGTGTCAGTGGGAGGAATAGTGCCCCATCATTAGTGCCAGTGTGGAGGTAATAGTACCCCATCATTGTGTCAGTGGGAGGAATAGTGCCCCATCGTTGGTGTCGTGGGAGGAATAGTGCCCCATTGTTGGTGTCAGTGAGAGGAATAGTGCCCTTTGTTGGTGTCAGTGGGAGGAATAGTGCCCCTTTGTTGGTGTCAGTGGGAGGAATAGTGCCCCATTCATTGTGTCAGTGGGAGGAATAGTGCCACATCATTGTGTCAGTGGGAGGAAATAGTGCCACATCATTGGTGTCAGTGAGAGGAATAGTGCCACATCATTGGTGTCAGTGAGAGGAATAGAGGTGCCCATCATTGGTGTCAGTGGGAGGAATAGGGGCTCATCATTGGTGTCAGTGGGAGGAATAGTGCTCCATCATTGGTGTCAGTGGGAGGAATAGTGCCCCATCATTGGTGTCAGTGGGAGGAATAGTGCCCCATCATTGGTGTCAGTGAGAGGGATAGTGCCCCACCATTGATTGTCAGTGGGAGGGATAGTGCGCCCCATCGTTGTCAGTGGGAGGGATAGCGCCCCATCGTTGTCAGTGGGAGGGATAGCGCCCCATCGTTGTCAGTGGGAGGGGATAGCGCCCCATCGTTGTCAGTGGGCGGAGCTCTAATAGGAAAAGGTGGAGCCTGAATAGGAATGGGTGAAGTTTACAGATGAAAGGGTTGGATCTTAAACAGAAAGAGTTGGGACAAAATTTTAGATCGGGGGGCGTGCCCGATTTTAGTCTTGCCTAGGGCAGCACGAAACCAAAATACACCACTGATCTGATCAGAATATTTTTGCAAGTGAGGTTCCGAGTATTTCAAGGGCATGTTTACACATTGGCAGCCCTTCCTGCCCCTCTGAAGAACATTTGCTGTTTAGAGGGCAGTAGAGCATTCTAGAAGCAATACTGACATCTTATAAATGTCCTAAAAACCCCCCAAAAAACAAAAAAACAGCTAGGCGTGGATTTTCTATGTAAACACCACATAATATCCGTGAGGCAAGCCTTTGGCTCACGGTTGCTGCATGACCCTATTTGCTTGTGTTGCATTTGGCATTGGGACTGTCTACCAAATACGACAAAGAATATCATCTTTGCAGCACCTGTAAACTGTTGCATCACAGCCACAGCATGTGTACAACCCTGAATGGCTGCATGCTATTTTTTTGATGAGCAGTCGGGGGCAATAAAACAGCATTTTAAACACCTACTTTTACCAACCTCAGCCATCTGTTTGAATGAGGCCTAAGGAGGTCTACCTACCTAAAGATCTCTATAGGGGAATCAGGACCTCCCGAAACTTGAATTTTTCTCTCTGCAAAAGAAGTTCTTTTTTCAGTGAGCAAAAGGACTGTAATCTACCTACAGACTTGACATGGCTGTCTGCCAATAACCCTCACATTGGGATTTTTTTCTATCTACAGAGTTACAAAATACCTATGCAGAAAGCCATAAACCTGTAGGCAGGTAGTGTCTGTATTCTCCACTGCAGGTGGTGCTCAACCGCAGAGGCAATACAGATGGGGGGAGGAAGTTGAGATCAGTTTGGTTCCTCTATGATTTCCTTAGTCACATGGGGTCAGTTATCCGGTTGACAATCCAATGTGACCCTGGTGGCCATCTTGGGTCAGGCTGAGTTTATTTAAACATACAAAAATGTAGTGAAATTAGACTTTTGAGGCACAACATTATGTATATAAATATTTTTTTTATTTCATTCATAAAAGTTTTTTCAACAAAATAACATTACACATAAAATGAAGTAACACCTAACTACAAAAAATATAAAAACATCTCAACAATATAGTGCATCATATCCAAAAAAAGGGTGATTCTCAGTGGCCTGAAGTGTTTCTTGGACATAGTCCACTTCTTCAGAAGCCTATGTACAGTATGCACCAATGCTCTGGAAAAACATTATCAACTTGCAAAGGAGGGAGGGTTGGATAACCTCCAAGGAAACAGAAAAGAGAAATCCAATGATTGCCATATGCAATATTGTCCTATCCTTCCAACAATCTTTAATATTGGAAGCACCCCCTAAGAACAGCTCTATCTAGTCCATACCCACTGATCCCTGTGTGAGATAATGCCTCTCCCCTTCAAGGGTCTGTAGTGTTGAAATATACTATGGCAATAAAGGTTACACCATTTAATTCTATCCAATACATGTCCAAGTATCCAGAATATACTGCATTGATCTTCTATAAAACCACACCACACTCCCTTCTGTTAAATACACATATGCCACTGCTCTACACCATAACCACTGCCATACACCAGAGAGAGGGACTATTTAAGACTCCAACTCTTGGGTTTGGTGCCCTTTATGCGAGTGGCTAGCATAGGGACAGGTTCCCCTTCTGTTAGGAACATTGCTTAGGAATGGGGAAAGGTTCTGAAGGAGTACGGAGACTGCAGGGACCAAATCTACCTGTCAGGAAGCCTTCCCCTTGGGTTGGACTGACCAAGCTGCATTCCGTTCCTTGTGGCAGACACTGTCAGCATCTTCGTGTCTTCCCCACAGCTGTCCCATCACTGTATACAGTAGTTTGTGAGTGTCTCTGGAAGGGTATCATTTCCATTGGGCCTGTTGGTACTTGTTACATTACATTGTTTTAACAAATTTGGACTCTGGACCACGCTGCCCCTAAACCACAAGCCGACTTATGTCAGAGGAAGAACTGGATGACTAGAATATATTTTTCCATCCAATTGCTAATGTTCCTTTAGATAAAGCTTACAGCAGAGGTTTCTGCAGTTTGCCTAAAAAGCTAGAATTATTTTATCATGGACAAATTTGATTTCAGGAATTAAAGCAAAAAATAGAAAATGAAAAACTATATACAACAAGCACAGAACATATATGCCTCACATGTTGCCCAACACTTGCAAGTGAGGTATATTGCTTTCAACAAACGGATGAGGACCAGACCATTTGATTTAGCTTTGGATAAATTAGGGAAAGTTTAAAAATTTGTCAGGTTTTTATTGCTGCCTGTTTCCCCACTAGGCAGATTCAACATTTTCTGTGCATCATGGTGACCACTACGATGCACATTTTAGAGTTGTCCCCACCAGAACAAGAGGTGAAGGTATATCTTATAGTGGGGACAACGGTTACAGTAACAACTGTCTACATTGTAACGTTTTCTTCTTACTTCCTGATATGTCTCCAGGACAGGAAGTAAAGGGAAATCTCCCCAAAGGGAAACAGCAAAAAATAAACTGACAGGAGTCAGTTTTGGTTATATATAAAATTTATCTTTGAACTCTTTGAACCTTTAAAAATATAACTTTTTGCTGCTCTTAACTACACACCATTACTCTTTGCACCATATCATAATCTGATTGTAATAGTGTTTTTGTTATCATACACATTTATTGTTCCCTGGAGCAAGGCCAGTCATTAATTTTTTTATCTCTTCAGATTTGGTATCTGCAAAGCAGTATTTATGATAGATAGTTCTCATAGATGTCCTTATTACTAAACTCAATAATGATAGTGTTTGTTTAGGGTATTGAGTCAGGAGGCACGTGCATAATCATCCCAGGGTTGGATTGTCAGGGGAAAATACTGTAAAAGTTGGCCATAAATGAGTAGAATTTCATCACATTTGTTTTTGTTTTCAGAACAGTCAATCGATTTTGTAATTGTTAGTGGCAAGTGACAAGAAAATTTTAAATTTCTCTTTCTCAAAATTAATACATTTCTAACAATGTACATTCATAAAACAAAAAGCAGTGCTAAATCACAAAAATATCAACAGTGTATAAAATGACATCTTATATGTGAAAATGAAAAACCCATGTAATACAAGAAAAATCTGTTCAATCTATATGAAAAATATATATATCAGATGATAAAAGATATGTGATAACAAAAATATCCCTTATCAAAATCCCAAAGGATGAAAAGACCAAAAAAGACTCAAAAGGAAAGTCCTTTCACAATCCATGTGCTATTGAAAATGTCCCCACACTTCTACTTCCTGCTATGAAGAGTGTTCATCCACCACCAAGTGACACCATTAGGGAGCCTCTTAGCAGATGGTGTGGACCATAAGATTATAAATGGTCACGAATGTTTCGATATATCTTTTTAGCCATGATTCTCCAGGCATAAGATACAGTCAGGTCCATAAATATTGGGACATCAACACAATTCTAACATTTTTGGCTCTATACACCACCACAATGGATTGGAAATGAAACAAACAAGATGTGCTTTAACTGCAGACTGTCAGCTTTAATTTGAGGGTATTTACATCCAAATCAGGTGAACAGTGTAGGAATTACAACAGTTTGCATATGTGCCTCCCCACTTGTTAAGGGACCAAAAGTAATGGGACAGAATAATAATCATAAATCAAACTTTCACTTTTTAATATTTGGTTGCAAATCCTTTGCAGTCAATTACAGCCTGAAGTCTGGAACGCATAGACATCACCAGACGCTGGGTTTCATCCCTGGTGATGCTCTGCCAGGCCTCTACTGCAACGGTCTCCAGTTCCTGCTTGATCTTGGGGCATTTTCCCTTCAGTTTTGTCTTCAGCAAGTGAAATGCATGCTCAATCCGATTCAGGTCAGGTGATTGACTTGCCATTGCATAACATTCCACTTCATTCCCTTAAAAAACTCTTTGGTTGCTTTTGCAGTATGCTTTGGGTCATTGTCCATCTGCACTGTGAAGTGGCGTCCAATGAGTTCTGAAGCATTTGGCTGAATATGAGCAGATAATATTGCCCGAAACACTTCAGAATTCATCCTGCTGCTTTTGTCAGCAGTCACATCATCAATAAATACAAGAGAACCAGTTCCATTGGCAGCCATACGTGCACACGCCATGACACTACCACCACCATGCTTCACTGATGAGGTGGTATGCTTAGGATCATGGGCAGTTCCTTTCCTTCTCCATACTCTTCTCTTCCCATCACTCTGGTACAAGTTGATCTTGGTCTCATCTGTCCATAGGATGTTGTTCCAGAACTGTGAAGGCTTTTTTAGATGTAGTTTGGCAAACTCTAATCTGGCCTTCCTGTTTTTGAGGCTCACCAATGGTTTACATCTTGTGGTGAACCCTCTGTATTCACTCTGGTGAAGTCTTCTCTTGATTGTTGACTTTGATACACATACACCTACCT